ATATGATCTATTTATAGCGTTATATGTGATTATATTGTATTTAGGGATTTAGACTTATTAGATTTAATGATTTTATATATGATTCAATTTTAGCCGAATGCTCGAAGAGCGCCTGGGTTATTAGATGAGTTGTGTATATTTGCCATATTTGCAGTGACGTATACCAATAACGATTTATATGGTCGCCATATGTAATACACGATACACTAGATATGTTATACGCATTCATTACCGAACATAGATTGCGGTTAAAAAATACAAAGCCCAAATATAGGTAGACTTTATTTTTTATTTAATTATCAAAAAAGTGCCAAACTTCGAGACCATGTCTACTCGGTCACGGTCGAGTTATATCATCATCACGTGGCACAACATTTTTATCCGGAATTCATATATTCGAAAAAAGATTATATAGTTATCCCATATACAGTATATAACGAAACATCTGACTTCGAGTATTTATTGCGAGGAAGCGGGATTATATTAAAAATCATTAATATGCGTAGATTGAACGGTCTGATTTTGTATAAGTTTTGCCGGTATTTAAATCATAATAATATCCTTCTTCATCATCGTCAGAGAAACCACAGAACTCTCCTTTATCGTTATCATCTTCGTTATTATTGAAGAAATCTTTATCATTTTCATTATCCCTAGTTGCGTCATCTTCGCTGTTATCGAAGTGATCTTCAAAATCGTATTCATAGTCGGAACCTCGATCATTACTCACCTCCGGTAAAGATTTAGATGTAATAGCATCCTCACTGCGCGAGACTTCTCCACTTATTTTATCAACATCAGAGGAATTGCTGGAGGTAGTCACTTCGAGGCTAGAGATTCGAGTCGTATTATTAGGTGAGGCTTCAATATCTGAGGCACTTGTCTCTGTTGATTTCGACTCCTGATCGTGAACAGTGTTCACGGTTTTCATATTACATGATAATGGAAGTGTCATCAACTCTTCTAATTCTCCTGAAGAAGTGTTTTTTGTTTTCTAGAAGACACTTCCTGATCTCGAAGCTTCTTTTCCCTAATTCTCTCTATTATTTCGTTACTAACCTGTTCCTTATATACTGTTTCTACAAAATCTAGAGTCTCGGTCGAATCATCATCAGTAACGTCTTGTGGTAAATAGGTTGCAGGAGGTTCAGGCTCTGTTGAAGATTGTACTAGTTCAGGCATGGGATCGGGAGTAATACTAGAATTTGAAGTATTATCGGGTATATTAGATGCCGGAGTATCAAAAGAATTTACTGGATATTGTGAAACATCTTCCATAGAAATACTTTTTTCTTTTTCCCCCTGTTCTAATATAGAAAGCCTAGTCTCAAGCTCTTTATTCTTTTGCTCTAGTTCCTCAACTCTAGCATCGCGCTTTGTATTCTCTTCTATAACCTGCTTTAACCTCACGTTCTCAGCCTCGATCTCAGAGCACTTTTTTCTAAGCTCAGAAACCTCAGCTAAAAGCTTCAAATTTAATTCTTTTAATGAATCGATTTTAGATTCTGTATTTGCCATTTTTTATACAAGATGTAGATATATTCAAAAGTTCGTTTAATATACATGTATATATGCTATTTATACTAAAAAATTTCCGGAAAATCAGAAATCAACCATGATCGAGAATTGATTTATTTACATTTGAGAATATCTATTTAAGAAATGATATATTTACACGAAAACCGATTATTTTGATACAGCCCGTGATGAAATATTTATATAGCTACGAGATAATAATATAGACGCTTCGTATCCTCATTTCATAAGACTATCTACACTATATTATCAGCGAAGCTGTGTATTTCATGCATTGCGGACGCATTGTTGTAAAAGGTAAAATCGATGAAATTTTATTAAATGTAAATTATGCAGTTATATCAAAATAAGACTAGATTAAATTCTGATATAAGAGAAGTCGTACACGTTAATTAACAATTTAAAACAGCATCCCGAATATCAAAGAGATCGATGGAAATAGGGTCAGGTAAAGGGGGTGAGGGAAGTATGAAGTTAGGTGGCATCCCATCGTAAAGGCAACTCAGTTGAATGTTGATCACGCATTGCCCCGATACAATGTTAAGGGGATTGCCCTGACGATCAATCGTCCCGAATTCATGCTGAACAGAGAATACATAGATTCACTCAATTTTGTGGTAAAAAAGCACCTAATAATATAACATACCATGATGGGGGCGAGTGCACCAACAGCTGTTCGATTATTTATACAATAATGCCAAGCCTATTAAAGAACAAATATCATTTAAACGATGCCAATGGCAAATGCCAGAAATTAAATCCTCTTGCGATTATTTACCGTCATCTCCGTTGGGCACATGCCTGGTATATAGTTAAAGTTAATGCCAATTGCATCGTGAGCTCTATTAGGAGCGAGCCGGTAAGTCTCTATTTTCTTCTTAAGTTCCGCCTCAGTTACGGCATAAGCGACCTCTATTACAAGACTGGGCCAGGGTTCATTCTAAGGGTACATGTCATCACCAATATTAACATAATCACATTAGAAAGCGAATGAGGTAAACTCTTCATACCCTCCCATCAGATCCACCACGGGGCACTTGAGGTTTTCCTTTGGGTCGAATAGACACATCTGCTTCTTTTCCTGATCTACCTGAGGTTGTTGCTGTTAATCAGAGATGGTGAGTAATAGAAACATACCTAGAACAGTAGCATCAAGAAAACCAACAAAACACTCACTTGTCGCACCATAAAAAAGAAAGCCGGCAGGAGATTTCCTCAGGGCTTGAAGTGCTATACCCAATTCCACCGTAATTGTACCGACGCAAATCTCGTGAAATTTTGAGGGAATTTCGGTAACAAGAACAGATCCATTTTCCCATTCCCAAAGACCCTTCACATTATATTTATCCGTTTTAATAATATACTCGTCTAAGGTGACATCAGTCTCTAGTACATATGGTAAGCTTGAAAATAAATATCAGTTGATATCAGACACTGGTTTATAAAAATATCAGTTCGTCAAAGCAAATAGAAAAGAGACTTACGTAGCTTCTTCCCACCTGGCCTTCGGATGTATGTTGCCAGTTTTCCACCAAAAAAAAACGATATTTTTTTATTTCATCAGTCTCCTGGGTCATACTTCTCCATGGAATAATAGAATCCGTATCAGTATCATTCCCGTATAAAGTTGCCATATTTATTATTTTGTGTATTTAGACGGAGAAAAAATACGAAGATCGCCCGATTAAGATTGATAATGCGATCAGTCATAAATATATGATGCATAGTTCACGTTACTTTATTACGTAGTATGGACGTCATTGCTTTACAATATTACATATAAAAAAAGTGCCAAACTTCGAGACTGTGACAGCCAGTCACGGTCGAGTTACATCGTAGTCACGTGACCACCGCATTTTACCCGGAATTAAGTTTGTCTAGTATTCTTCCTAACCTGTAATGCTACGTATTTGATATTTTCCGAACTTAAATTTGAAATCGATGGTGCAGTAAACGTTTTTATTTGTTGAATATATGTCATCCTTTGAACTTTGTCTCCACCAATACGAAAAAAAAGATCATAGATTTTTCTGGCTCTTTCTGTTCTCTTTCTGAGTGCATTCTTGGAAACTTCCTTTGGGAGCTGATCTCGAACCTCATAGTTGACCTTCTTCTGAGCCTCATGTTCTTCCATAGATTGTTTATAATCGGAAAGGCGTTTTTCCAGTTCCTCTCCAAAAAAATAATATGCTCTTAAAACTTCATGACGTGCATTATCGCTATGCTCCTCAGCCTTGGATATTTTTAAATATAGATCGAAAAAAACTCGGGAACCCTCAACTTCTCGTACAGATTCTTTGTGAAGACCTTTTTTCTCCCTAATCTCAGAAATTCGAGTGGTATCGGAAGATAATTCCCGGATAAGACTTTTTAACACAATCGAGTCCTCATCCTTAATGACTTTCTTAGCTTTTTTACTGGAGGAATTTTCGGTTGATTCATCCGTAGCTTCATTAGTCCGCTTTTTACCTATCGAATCGGATTGGGTTTCAACTTGAGATTCCTTTTCCTTCTCTTCTCTCCCCTTATCATCTCTATCAGCCATATCCACATCTTGAGACGAAATTTTCCCATCCAGATCCATTGGTTGTCCCTGGGATGAAATTCTTGGGGAATTAATTTCAGCATTACTCTTAAATCCTTCAACTAGAGTCGATGTGCCACTTATTTGAGAAGATACAGAATATCGTCTTGAACCCTTATCGACAATATCAACAATATCAACGCTTTTATCACAGCCGGGAAAAGGGCATATTTTTCTCAATGCAAATTTGGTAGAATATATGCCTGATCTAAATTTAAAAAGTAGATATGATGATAAATAGCAGACATCATAATGGAAGTTTGGTTATCAGTGAAAACTGCTTCAGAATTTCTAGTTTCCAATCTTGGACGCATAAAAAATAATAAAGGTAGGATTTTAAGTGCAAATCCCTGCAAAAGAAAAGGTTATATACGGATAAATCTAAAAATTAATGGCACTTATACAAGTAGAGCTGTCCATATTTTAGTTGCACAAGCCTTTATTTCTAATCCAGAAAATAAGCCCTATGTTAATCATATCAATGGCATCAAATATGATAATCGGGTTATTAACTTAGAATGGGTAACTCCTAAAGAGAATGCTGAACGTAAAATATTCCCAAATCCTAGTCATAGTAACTCCAGGAAAATTGTGCAAAAGACTCTGGACGGAAATGTTATTCGGATTTGGGATTCTATAGCTCTTGCAAGTTCTACACTTAAGATTTCAGGGCCTCATATCTCTCAATGTTGTAGTAAAAAGCTGAACACTACTGGAGGGTGGCGTTGGATGTATTACGAAGATCACATAGAAAAAGATCCAGATGAAGAATGGAGAGAAGTAAGGCTTAATTCCCGAAAATTCAAAGTTTCATCTTTAGGGAGGGTTCAGTTACCCAACGGTTTAATCTCAAGAGGATCTCTAGATGCAGGATATCTTAGAGTCGCTCGAGAAAAATATCGTGTTCATCGCCTGGTTGCATTAGCATTTTGCCCTAAAGAAGAAGGTAAAGAATATGTGAATCACATTGACGGGGATTCAATAAACAATAAAGCATCTAATCTTGAATGGTGTTCACAAAAAGAAAACTCTCAGCATGCTGTACGTCTCGGGCTTCGTAACTTCAAGGATAGTAATAAATACCAACGTCCTATCAGGCAGATTTTTGACGACGGTTCTACGTGAGAATTTCCATCCATAGTTAAAGCACAACGTGCAACTGGAATTAACCAGTCAAACATTGGTGGAGTATGTCGAGGAATCCGAGTTCATGCTGGTGGGTATCGTTGGCAATACATGAATACCAGTGACATATGACATGATAAATATTGGACATACATATATTTTTTAGGTCATGATTTCGAGGTAAAATTCGTCATGCTACACCTACCAATTGTAAAAAATAGTGATCGAAATTGTATAGTTTTTAGGTTGTTAAAAATGATTCGTGACAAGGTCATACTTCGATAATTAAGTCACGAGACTGAACTTTCGGTCATGATCGTGCGTATATCAGATGAGACAATTCCCACGGATCTATCGTTAAAAAAATAAAAACTGCTTCTCTCATCTTATCCCGTAAAAAATGGATGCGCCTACTCCTACTTATACTTTTGCTAATGGTGTCCCTACTGATCCTCAAGTTCTGAAAGTCTATAACGGTTTGAGTAGGACCCAAAGAACCATGTACAATAATGCACCCGACGACCAGGCGAGAAGCGCTATATTGTATGTAATTGCGGAAGAAAAGAAAAAACCGGTATGTTTGCTTAGATGGTGTATATTTCTCATTAAGCTTTTCACTGAGACTGAGACTTGTTATAAATGTTAGTGGTGGCGTCGCTTAATTGATTTATTTCGATAGCGACATTATCTCAATCTTGTTTATGCTGTAATCAATTTACTTTCCGTCATCGGTTTTAATGTCTGGAGTCACTTTCAAAGACGAGACGGTGATCAAGATTTTATTAAATGTTGGAATAATTACAAGCCTGAACAAGATGTTATCCTTTACCAATTATGCATTCTCTTTGGAACCCAAATTATTATCATATTCATAACAGCAATAACAGAAGGATTGTTTAATAAGTTTCCAGATGCGTTATTTATCATCGTTCCGATAATTACTGGGATAGTGTTGGCGGTAGCGGGAGGCCTAATTTGGACGTTGGCAAATACCGCTATTTCTTTTATAGGAGTTGGGATATTGTTTGCGGAGAGTGCTATGTATTATTTTAGTATATACCCTCGATAATAATGATGGTGAAGCTAGATCTTGAAGGGTGCCATTGCCTACGAACACTGCATCTACAGCACTGTAATTGTATACGGATTTATTCTGTGTCAATACCTAAATTTATTGTGAAACGACACTCACGTGCCTTGAGAGGAATCACACGATAGAATGATGTTCATGCACATAGTCGATTACCGTTATTCTTTAATTTTTTCTTGGCTCATAGTAATGGATTTTACTCTCCTTTGTCGTCTCGTCTCCATCTATTTAACGATCTTTATTTCAGCGATATGCGTAACGCGTGAAAAATGACTGATTTCTTTATTATGAATAAGCGTAAATGAGACGTAAAATACATGTCTAAATACATAAAACGGGAGAGCTATCTACCCACTATTTTTTTTATTCGGGCCCTCTTACTGGCTGAGGAATTATCAACACTAATTCGATCTTTTAACAATCCCACGATAACACCCAGCACTCGCTTTACCCCTTTTTTAATAGAATCAAGATCCTCTTTGAGAGCCGTCTTCGAGAGATTGATTTGATATTCACTCTCACTAGTGCAATAAAGACCATCAGTGGTGAAAACAAGAAAATGCCAATCCATACCCGTGGATACAATTCCGTAGAGATAGTCGTAGTCGTCATTTCCAAAAGCTTGTTCAGCCGTCCTTTTTTTCTTATTTGTATGATACGCACTCTCGAGTTGAATGATGTTCTAACGAAAATAAGCGTATAAAAATTAGTTAATGTAACATGTTAAAACAAATACAAGGTGATGTAGAATAATTAGTTATGTGAAAAAATATGGTCATACTTGTAGATATCCGATTTTGATGTTACGAGGTTTTCCTTCTGCAATACACATGAGATCTTCCTTCCCTTTGATTGCATAATCAACTCGCCCAGATGCTTCTTCACCAGAGAAATCCTTCTGCAATGAAATATTGAGTTTTTCTTCCTTGGCGATCCTTCGAACGATGGCAAGTGACGCATGTAGGATGGACGAGATGAATTCACACCGGGTCGCTTCGTTGGCATCAATCATCGTTTCAATATTCGTTAGTATTAGTATTATATCCACCACACAGTGCTTAAACGCTTCGTCGTTGTCATCGATTTCCTCAAAAACTATACAATAGAAAAAACGTCTCATAGAGTGAGGATGCTTTGCATCTAACATATAATCTATGTATGCGTGACAATTTGTCACGCCAATCACTTTTGCTAAGAAATTTGCGAGACCGCGCGGTCCCAGAAAAAATAAAATTAAGTATTACGTACCCGGGTTAAATTGTTTGATGCTTGTTATATCATCTCCATTGACTTTATATTTGCGGAGCACGTCTTTTAATTCGTCTAGTGTTTTATATGACGAGAAGCTACGTATCTTTTGCTCGGTAAGCTCTTCAATAAAATCTATAAGAACGGTTACAGTCCCACCCTTCAAACCATAACTGAGAAATTTTTCTTCTGTAGTCTTGAGAAATGCACGACCAGTGATCTCCTCCTGCCGAAAAATTTTGAAATGAGATTCTTTCAGATCTAGATCCTGCCTCCGCAAATAGTCAATGAGTTCCTCCGTCTTATATTTCCTAACTACGTCTGCCATCGTGCGAGTTGACCTTTCTTCCGTTAAAGTAGAGGATGTAGAAGCCGGTGAGGAAGGTGAAGAAGCGTGTGAAGACATGGTATCTTTTATATGGTATATGGCGTAAATGAATCTGGTTTATGCGATGCGTTTATGTGCGTTTATGTATCTAGACTAGTAAAGATAGATAATGCAAGTAAGAAATGAAAAAAATTATTTTGTAAATGAATCAGCAACTATTTATAGTATATAGATTACGCAGGTTACAAAGTTGGCAGACATACGACGATCTCGGAGATTGCGGAGATTTCAACTTCCTAAGACATAAGTCCTTTAATATACACACTACTGGAGATTGATGGTCTGATCCTCCTTACCGCCTTTTCGAGATTCGTTTCGCTGGTTCTTATCGTGGAGCATGTTTAATATAGAAATATTTTCTAGCCTAAATACGTATAGCGAAAAAAAGATTTACACATGTTTCACGAACTTCTACGCTGATCACTGATTCGTCGATTAAATATACGTGATGCGATTTACGTAAATATATATCTCATATGTACCCACTGTAGCCACTATGTAACTACCCCAGCAAGAAAACACGAATTAGATTTAAAAGAGCCATAAGGGGGATGGGCTTATCGTTTCTCATTAGTATTTCTACCGAAAATCATATGTTGCAATGACTTGGCATTTTCCCAGATCATCACGATCATTATCTTTTTTACTCAGCCAGTGAGATCGTCAAATTAAGGGGCACGCTTTTACCAAAAATAATGAAATATACTTAACTTTGGGATAGAACTAGCCACTATATGACTGCCTCCGGCAATGGTCCTGGATGGTATAAAATACTTCGTTTTTTTCTTTTGTAAGGTGGGTATCAATAACGTTTTTTTACCGCTAATTCGAAGTATTATACTACTATTTATTATACCGCTATGAATTAAGACTATAAAAACGTATTTGCTTACTGCGAACTTTGTATTTAGGACCGTGAAAATGAGCAGTACTAACGATAGTACCACCCTCAAGAGCAACGATAACAACACTCCCAAGAGTAACGATAGCACCACCTCCAAGAGCAATGACAATAACACCTTCCAAACTAGGGATATTTCTTTCAATGTCCCCAGAATCGTCACTCAAACACCATCTAATCCAAGATCTAGCCAAAGGACACCTAATCCTAGTCGTCAACACAGAAATAAAAGAGACAGCTTTGGTAAGCAAAATCTTGCTAAAGTTAAAGATAATTAAAAATGTTGATGTAACTTTAATAAAATTGAAAAATGTTAATTTATTGTATTAATTTAGATGATCTGGACTATGATCCGGAAGAAAAAATTTTTAAAGAAAATCCCCTTCATTTCGTTAGTCCAGAATATGCACAAAAATGTATAGATAATGATGATTACGATATATATCCTCCTGAAGTCGCCCAGGAAATCTTAGATCAATTGTAAAAAACCAACTGCTTGATCCATCTTTTTTGAAACATATATCTTTTTATCTGTATGCCGTTTAGTAATTTTTTTATATAATAAAGAATGGGCAGTAGGCATCCGATTTTCTACACACGACATCGCTTCCCTAAGGCCCATTATAACGTGATGTAATTGGTTAATAATTTTCCTAAAGTTAAGGCACAAAGTGCCATTTCTTCGAAATACAGTTTTTTAATTATTTGCGGAACAAAGCACTTCGTGCCTCTAATTAGATGGATTACACCGGGAAATTAGCAGGAGATTGCCTCATCTTGATTGGTTGATCGTCGTATATATCCTTACCGATTATCAGCGATTGCTTAATACCGCTTCCCACGTTTTTTTCGCGAAAGTATACGTTATTCGTCTGGCACGTAAGTGCCCTTGCTTTGCAAGTGAGTAGGACTCGGCTCTAGGATTATATAATTCTAACGGCTCGTTGGGTAGTGTCACTTTCGTATTTCCACACCTATTAGTTAATACACCGAACATTTTTATTCCACGTTTTTCACAATCTGTCGAGCGAAAATTAAGCAAGTAATGGACGTGTCTACCAGTAAACGAAACGAACCAGTGTTATCGAAATCCACCAAACGGAATTTACGAAGGAAGGAGCAACGACGTATAAAGAAAGCAAAGCTTGCGGAACACACTAACCAATCAATTGACGAAGTGAAACCAACACTTTGGTCAAGAATAAGAGTGCGTATATCTGGACATGAGCGTAGAATCGTACTAATCAATGCATCTTTGATTTTTAATCCTTCTATTCTGAGATATACTATCTTGGAGCAATAAAGAGGTTTCATCTCCCTACACATAACTCTTTTAAAATTTAACAATCGTCTAGGTACCTTTCTACTGCGTCGGATCCTCTGACAATCTTCTTTAGAAAACTCAACACGACGCCATAGAATTGGTGCACTGCAATAATACCAAAAACGATTGACGAATAAAGCAGAATAGAGGGATTGATCAATTTCTAAAAAATATAAGATCTGTTCTAGTAACTCGGGTATATTAAAATATTAAGCCGTTGCATCATTCTCAAGTAATGTATATCTTCAATCGAAAAAATATCTAATATTTAGATAATTGGTTCACATGTTTAGTTATCAGATTTTAAAAGTAACTTTACTCGTTGATAATATCGATCTTTGGCTTGTTTCATTAATGTGCCACCTGGTCGATATAGCCATTTAATTACTGCATGCTGGATTATTTTAGCAGAATTAATTTGTTTTCTCCATAAACGATATGTCTTCTGGATAATTAATGACGCACGATTTTTTTTATATAATGCTAGTTGAACTTTTAAATCCCTATATTTAGGATCATTACCTATTTGCTTATGGCTGGTCAAATTATTTTTGATACGAAATACAAAATTTTCCAGTAATCTCTACTATTTATTTCACATCCTAGTTTTAATAAACGCTTGCGTACATACTTTGATGGATAATGTCTTGCAAACTGTAACCATGCTTCCGATGTTTTAATATTGTTAGCAATGTAATTTTCACCATATTCACTTAACCTATCTCGTACTCTGCTATAACTCATTATATATTTGCTATTTCAGATGTATCTGATATAGTTGAATTAGTACTTTGTATTATGAAATAATGAGCTCCGCTCTAATTTCGCAAGATAAAATTCTGACGTGTTTTATTATGATAATTTTTTTTTTGTGTATACAAATGATTAGAAGATTAAGATCAGGTGCTACACGCTTATCACCCGAAGCAATCAATAATATAATTACTGCTAAGGGTTCAGCAAATGCATTACCGAATCTAGCTAAAAAGTAATGTATCATATGCACAAATTCGTGAAATATGGGAATTTGCTATTGCAATAAATAATTAATATTTATTGTATAGTTGTGCCATTCTCGATATTCTCCAAAGTGCTCAGCTTTTCTACTAGCTCATCTAATGGAAGTTCCAATCCACATCTTCTAGCTTCTATCTGATTCTCGGGTGATAATCCACAAAGAAATTGATGTTTAAGATGATCTTCATTATGTCCAGCTAATTTACAATATTTTTTTACTTTCATGTAAAAATCCATTATCGAACTCTCCTCTTGACTCAAATTCCCGAATTGAAAATTTTGAATATCAGTATATCTGGATGAGATTCTATTCAAGTGATCGACAATTTCATTCAAAGGCTTTTTAAAGCCGAATCGAATTACTTCTTTTTTATTATCTCGTGATAGGCCATTAAAGAAAGTTCCCTTAAGGTCTTGATTTTCTAAGTCGATATCCAATACTGTAGCATATACCTTTATCATCTTGAAGTAATCATCCACAGACTGATTGTGCTGTGTTGGTGGTGGAATTTTTGGTCCAATAACTAATTGTATATCAGTTCCATCGAGCAATGTAAGAGTTTTATTTGGGAAATCCATTTTAATTGCATTTTCCTGAAACCATGGCTGACCCAATACCAGTACAAATGTAAGTTTCGGTTCATTAGAAACAAAAATATCGGTAACTTTTACTTTTTTCCATTTAGTGCCTTGAGACATGATTGAAATCTCTATTTCGCGAATTATTCCCAACACATCGATCTTGTTAATGAGATTATGTATTTCTGCATCACAGGTATCATCGATTTTTAAGCCCACTCCATTTACTACTTCCTCGCCTATAATATTACAATTAGCACCAGAATCCAATATAACGGTTACTGGTGCTTTATTAATTTCGCAAGATAAAATTTTCATAGTGATGCTTTATTATAACAATATATTTAATTTTACACTTCTAAATTCGTATTTATAAAATAATTTAACATTTACAATGACCGAAGCTGACATTAAGTCTGTTATAAACGAAGCAATTGTTAAAGATAATATCAGCAGAGCTGACACGGCTGATGCTATCTTGTCTCAAGAATTATGTGAATGTATCGAAACAGTAACCAAGTCTTTAACAGAGCAACAGAATGCTATTGGAGTAATATCCAATATTCGTAGGCAAGTATTGGATAAAAAATCCGGAATTCTCTTTACCAATTACTGGAAATAATAAAACCCGAGGTTCAGCAAGATATTATAAACTCGATAGCAAACCCCGATATTTCTCGAAGAAATCATACACCATGCAAGGCTAAAAGAAAAAAATTAATTTTTAACGATACCGCATCTGAGTCCTCGTCTTCATCTGAATCTG